TTCCGGGCTAACTGGAAGATGATCGTCAAATAGAACATTTCTAGGAACTTGGGCCCATTGTAGATGTAGAATAACATAGTGAAGTAAAATATAAATCAGAGCCATAGAGAGCGTTGCTGACATTGCTGATGTCCCTCCTATGAATATGTGTGGGTATGAATTTCAGTGATTTTCCTCTGGAACAGGGCCAGGGTTCAGTGGGCTCAGTGGCACATCCCTACCCTAAACGGACAAGAGTACCCCCCCCCCCCCCCGGGCTATCTTATCACAACTATCCTATATTTATTTTTGAAATAATTTTCTTTATGCATTAGTCTTCTATCCATTCCACATATCTGGTGAAAAAAGCAACTTGTCAAAAATGAATACCAGCTAGATGTATAGAGCCAATATTTTTCCTCGACCTCAGTACCGCTAATACCTGTATTTCATTTCCAGAAAAATTTGGACCAAATGTGAATGTCCCTGGACAAAGACAGTTCCCAAATATGCGGGATCTGGAAGATAACCTACCAGACATAGCTGATGCAGGGTATCCCATTGCACAGCATGGTGACACTGCCAGACAGGGGCAGCAAAACAGACAACCTACAGAGAGAGAATATCCTGAAACACAAAATGCTGTCAGCTCTGTTGCGAGGCCTATTCAGGTGACAGACCTAGATGACCTCAAGAAATCAGGCAAAGATGAATATAAGATTTGTGATCTTGGAAAAGGAGTATTTTCTAAGGTTTGGTTGATTTCTGTATTCAAAGTACTAGATGAATGATACCATTAAATCCACTGCAGGTTATAAGCCTTGTGTTATGCTTTGCAAGGGATCTTTTGATAGGCTTATAACCAGGAAGGAGGTGGGGGGCTTAGAACCAGAAAAAAAAAAAAAAATTTGTGACAAAAAAAATGTTACTTCTTACTCTTTATCACTGTAACTATTAATTGGTGAATAATTGTTCCTAACAGCCTTGTTTATTCCATCATCCAGGTTTACCTTGGAATGAATAGAGGATCTAGAACATATTTTGCAGTCAAGGAAGTCGATCTGGGAGTGAATGATGACAAAACTAAAGAAGTACTGGAATGTTTACTGTGCTACATGCCATACCATAAATACTTACTACAAGTTTTTTTTGTTTCTTTTTGACGTTTTTTTGACAAGTTTTAATCCCCTTCTTTACTGCTAACCAATTATTATTTGACTTATTTTTAGAAAGCAGAAGCACTTGAAAAAGAAATCAATGTACTAAAAGTTCTCGACAATCCTTATATTGTAAAGTACTTTAAAACAGAACTTTATGATAATTCACTGAATATATTCATGGAGTATATGTCTGGGGTGAGTTGCTATCTACGGCTTCTATTCCGAAGTTTGTTTGCAAATAGACCATTTTAGCTTTGTACGATTTCAGATCACATGACGTTACCTTGAGAATTGTTCTTTTATGATGAACACCTCAAAATATTTACACACCAAACAATCAACTCCCAAGAGTGGCATCACATGGTTGGAAATGTGCACAACAAACAATGAAGCTAAAATTAGGTTTATTCCCAAATGGGAATGAAACTATGTATGGCTGAAGGGGGAGGCTACGGCGTCCCCTTTGCCACTCCGTGGATATGCCCTTGCCCCTCCCCCCCGAAAAACACACCTTCATGTTATAACAGTTGTTCAAAGAAATTGATAATTTTAGATGTATCATCATCACCTCTTTAGGGTTCGATTGAAAAAAAACTTAAAGAAGTAAAACATTTTGAGCAAGAGATTGTGAGGAAATACACCTGGCAGCTTTTGAAAGGACTGGAATATCTGCATGAGAATAATGTTATTCATAGAGATATCAAAGGTATTTGAATTATTTGTTAAAATATCTCTGACTAAATAAATACAGTGTCGCCATCACCATCATCACCATCATCATT